ACAAAAAAACTATAATTCGGTCCTCCTTAACTCAATTTGTTTACACTTTTTTAAGTTGCTTCAATAATTCCTCGTTGATATGTACTGAGGACCACCTTTCAAATTGTCCAAAGCATCCATTCATAAGGTCTAAGTTGTCTAGAACATAAAGCCTTTAGAATTGGTTAAGCAACATAGTTGGGAAACGTTCTCTATGACTAGTAAACACTTTCACTACTGGAACTCCATAAAGACTAGACTTCAGTCTTGTAGAGAAATTAACCACGTACATTGACATATTCCAGATTCTTATTCGTTATTTTGAAGTATATTGATTTCTAAAATACAAGCTTATTCAATCAAATTATGAGTTGAAATAATCCATCTTGAAATGACGGTGACTAGAATGTACTTTACCATCGATGTTCCTTAGCCAATCCAAAGCTATTGTCCCACCATCAGACAATTGAAATATCTGTCTGTAGACAAGAATGCATTAGTGACCAAAATGTAGCAATTCATCTGTGAAAACTAAGATATGTGAATATGATCTTTTTACAATCTCAAAGATAACTGCCTTGCCGACAATAAGTGCAGTGAGCTAAATGTCTGCCAATATTTACCCAACATACAAGGGAGACCAAAACTGATAGTATCATAGTATGAGCAGAAAAAAAAAACAGAGGTGAAACTAAATAAGTCTGTTAACTGTATTTGTCACCTTCGGTAGCTGCAAGCAGGTGCCCTTCCAAAGAACTGCAAAAAGGCTGTCTGTAGATGAGGACTGCAAAGCCACGGAGTAGACGAAAACCTGCAATGCACAATAGGAAAAATTCCAATAAATAAAGAACAAAAAGCCATGTATACTCATGACATACAAACTTCAGTACAAAACTCAGGATTACGACAATCCTATCACTTGCAAGACACAGTAAAGTATGTTGTCTAGAATTAACACTTCTTTGTTACTTATAAGATATACTCCTTTTGTCCCTGTTTACGTGGCACAATTGGAATTTCAAGATTCAATCTTCTACACTTTGACCATAAATTCAGACACAGAAGCTTTAAGTTTTTTAAAATTAAATTCATATATTCAAAGCCTATGTAAAAGTTCTATAAATACTAAATTGCTCTACCCTACACCAAAGATAAGAACATCACACTAGATAGCTATCATATCCATGGAATACAATCACAATAATTAATAATTCAAAATACATAAAAAAAATCTAATCAAAGAAAAACTGATGAACTCTCGAAAGGGAGTAATTAATTGATTACAACAACAATTGCTCAAAAACATATATATTAACATGATTTAGACTAACAATCCACCTGATAAAATGGGTTTTTTGAATGGTCCTAAATCATCATCAACATTATTCCAAAGTTCCACATATGATCAAGAACCAAAAGCATTCAAATGTACCAAGATTATATTTTTCTTAATCAGTTTTTTACCTGCCATTAAGAGTTTTACATTTGGAAACCACTTCTTGATAGAGGTCACAGCAAGAATTAAAGGTCAAAGAAACAGGCTTTCCCCTAAATCCAGTAAATAATTCTTGTATGAAGTACATCTCTATGAAATTATAGAGAAAAACAGATAGTAAAAACAGAGACCCCAAGAAATAATGAGAAATGGGTATCAAGAAAGCAACTTTAAGCAGAAGCTCATATGGGGATTCTGAGCTTAACTCAAAGCAATCCATGGCAATCTCAAAAGGGGGTGTTGGGTTTCTTGAAAAAAAGAAAAAAAAAAGAAAGATTGATGAGAAGAGAGAGACTACTTGAACAAGCGGACTAAATTATGCTGAAATTATATTAATTTATTTTAGGCGAAATGGTCTGATGCATTTGTACTTGTATGAATTTGTATTCTGGATCTTTCTATTTAACCTTTCACCAACTAAACTCCTAAATCTATTGAAACTTGATATTTTAAACCCTTTTTTTGACCTGTCATCCTATGTGGCATTTTTGTTCAAAATGTGTGTGATACACATAAAATAAGAGCGTGAAGTCTTATAAAAAAATCAAAATGTCAAGTTTTGACCTAATTAAGAGTATCTTCTTTCCCATTTATTCATTTACCATTGTTGGACAAATAAAAAAACTTTTTTTTGAGGCTTTTCTACTTATCTCCAAATTTTTTCTCCATTTTTTAAATTGTTTCAGGTTGCCTTTCATCTTCTTCAAAGGATTCATTATTTCTTGAACAAATTCAGTCTTTATTACTCTACAAAGAATTTTTACAAGTAACAAATTTCTTTCATTGCTCCAAACAAATAAATAGACTTATCGATTCTATTCTTCAACAAGTATTTCGTTTCCTCCGAACTTAACATTGTTAGAGCTATCAACAACTCCAATTTCTGCAAATCGTCAGAATACAAATCATAAAAAACTTTTAAATTGATCCAAAATTACAAAGAGGGGAAGAAAAAGAAAAAGAAACATGGAGGATGAGTGAATGAAGAGAATCTGAGGGTTGAGTAATTTGGACGAGTTGTGAGATCTAGGGTTTTGGAGCGAGTATCGCAGCCGTTTGGGCCATCACTGCTTTTTCCAAATCGAATGTGGAGCAGTCGCCCTCTCCATCTTTGAGTGGTAGCTCCACCACCACATCGCGGTGTACAGACGATTTTGTTGGTACTGCATTTTACTAGCGAAATCCTGTGGAGTGAGAGAGGAGGAAGAAGAGAAATTTGGAAGATAATTGGAAAAAAAGAAAAAGATTTTTCAAATAAAATTTTGGGGCTTTAATTTAATTTTATCATTTTATTTCCTACGTGGCAGGTAAAAATGAGGTGGAATTTGACATGTAGGAGGTGTATTATACGCATTATCCACCATGTGAGAAAAGGGTTTAAAATACTAAATTTCAATGGGTTCAGGGGTTTAGTTGGTAAATGATTAAGTAGAAGGGTCCATAATACAAACTCATACAAGTATAAGGGTCCATCAGACCATTCCGCCTATATTTTATTATAAAGATGGAATAAAACAATTTTAAGTGAGTTGGAATTAGATGCATATCATTATTAAGTCTAACATAAATTAATACGACATTTAATACATAATTTATACTCCTTTCGCTTTTTTTATTTTTTATAAATTTATATTTTAAGAGTCAAATAATATGAGTTTTGATTAATGATATGTAATTTTTCATTATATTGATATGAAATAAATGTAATTTATAATATCATAATGAGTCAAATAATTTTTTATTATTTATTAATTTAATATATATTTTATTTCAGATTTAATTATATAATATCTCATATTATTTCATGCACCATATGGTCCCTAAATGATTGGTCGTGGACCTCAGCCAGTAGCCAATAGGGAAATTCGAGTGTTCTACATTAACACGTGATAAATTGACAATAGATGGTTTACCAAAAAATAATGAAGGGACAAACTGACAATAGAGTGGTGTGCGCATCTGTCGGTTCCATTTTATATATTATCAGTTTGGTTTATTGGTATTTGATTTTTAAATACGTTAAATTAATAAGAGATTTTTTTGATTTATTAATTTTGGTCCTTAACAGTTCGATTTTCGATTTAATCAATAAGAAAATACATATAATAAATATATGACTTCTCTAATAAATTTGACGCGATAACATAATAATGTAATGAAAAACTATACAAGTGTAACACAAAAAGAAATTAAGATGAATAAGGTTCTTACTTTAGATTTTGACGTTTTGTATAATGTGAAGTTGTGAACTAAAAGTCACTTTAAAGTGTGAATTGAAGGCTAAAACATAAAGACATTAACTAGTAAGGCCTTGAGATTAATATATAATATTTATGTACAAGTAAATGTAGAAATTACTAGTCTTAATAGGTTATCGGTTTACCCAATAACCTAATATTAAAAACCAATATCGAACCGATAAATCCGATATTTTTTTTTTATAAAATCATTAAAAATCCGTTAATTCAATAACCCAATAACAATAAACCGATAACACCTTTTTCGGTTCGATTTATCGGTTGATTCAGTTTTTGCACTATAAAGTAGTTATATTATTTTTCATCTTGTTTCCTATAATTACTTCTATTAAAAAAAGATAAATATATAAGAAGCTTCAAAATTCTTTTAAACTTTGAAAAAATTATTTACTTATAAAATAGAAAATCAACAATTCAAAAAAAAAACATTTTTATATAAATAGACGAACATTATGAGTAAGAACAAAAATAATGTAACTGTATTATTCTTTTTTTTCTTTCGTTTTCGAAATCATTTGAAAAGCTGTCTTATTTTGAAATCAGTTTAACATTCAATATTTTCCACAAATCTTCTCATAAATATCTTATTCATAAATCTTTGAAATTTGAATGCTCTGTACATTCTCCACAATTTGACTTGAAGCCTATTTTGTTTTTAATTGGAATTATTCAAAAGATATTTATTACTTAGTTATACACTAACACAAGTCAAATTAACAACATGAAAAACATATCTAGTACAATCAAACAAGTGAGGTCCGGAGACAGTAGAGTGTACGCAAACCTCATTTTAGGTAATATTTCAATTTAATTTGTATTTCTGTTGTTCCAAAATTCTTCCATGTAGTACCATTGTAATACGTTTTATTTGGGCTCTTCTACACGATACAATTTTTAATTTCAGATTTGATGGACAAAAAATTGACAACTTATTGTTGTCTTTCCCTATTTTGTTGTGTTTGTCTAAAAATGGATTAAGAAAGTAAAATTATCAAGAACAGATTCCAAAAAGTTGATGAGCTAGAGACGCTGGATGATTTCACATTGCCTGACTAAGTAAATCAACTCGTTGAGGAAGATGAACGGTTGCAAGATATAAATAACATATCTCAATGCATATACATAGTTATACATCATAAAAAGCAGCCCCAAATAAATAGGTAGGTCTTATTCCTTACGTAGAGATATTTAAAATTCTAAATCCGACTTTGGATCTCAGCTTTTTCCTCTCTTCCCCAGGGATTGTAGGATAAATGTATCAACAACAACAACAATGAATATAACATAGGCATGACATCGTCATCTTTTCGTTGAGGATGAAGAGAAATTGTTGCGCAGCTTTCTCTTGAACAAGAGTGAACCCAGAATTGGCCATGTGGTTGTGATTGCAACACATGCAAGTACCCACATTGAAATCTTACTTCGCCCAGAAAGCTGATTTAGACAATTTTTAATAGGAACCATCATTGCATTAATATTTGGGCAACGAACAGGATCAAATTGAGTCATTGCATTTGGTTCTTGTTGCACTGTGCCATTGTTAACTCTAACGCTATCTCCAACCTTGTCATCTTCGACCAGTTGCTCGTTTCCTAATTCACCTGATGGCTCCTCGCCAAATGCAGTCACTAAACCGTCTTCTCTTAAATTCACATATGGTGCCTCATCAATTGATTTCAGTGGAGAACTATTCACTGTGTTATTTTGTATCTGCATAATACAATGCCATAAGACATAACGATAGCTTACAACTAGAACTAGTGTGTGCAAATCTGCATACCTTTTCTCTACGGATCAATGAGCTGGAGTTAAAAGCACAAAAGAATTCATCAACGGCCCTAACCCACCTGCGAAGGAGGAAATGATAACTTGTTCTCATCAAGGATATCATACTACTAAATTAGTAACCAGACACTTCAATACAAAACTTGAATGGGTACGAGCCATACATCTGAATACTTATGACACATATTAATCACAAAGTGTATCTCACAGAGAACTCATTTCTTTTCTGGATCCTTGGTTTTAGACCATTTTTGCATGCTAAAAAAGAATTGAGATGACTGAATAATAGCGAGATGCAGTGTTAATTAAAATTAATATAAAGTAAAATAAATTAGAATGCCAAAAACCATATCTGTGGTGAGAGGAACATATATTACCAGAGGCTTTTGCCGGTCAACCCTTCAAGATGTCCCAAGTGTCCCCCATGCTGTGTGGTAGCTAGTACGACATTTTTGTTTGCCCTGAAAGAGAATCATGTTGTCATGCAATCTATATTTACAGTAGCAGAACACACAGATATGTATTTAAAGCAAAATGATTATGATTCTCAGGCCTCAGGAGCATACAGAGATGATATGAGGATGACTTTGAAGTAGGTTTAGGTGGATTATGTGTTTTCACTGAGAAATAGTTACACTCCCTAGCAAGTAGCCAAATCCTTTTACACACCCCAGTTTCACGAAGAACTTTTTACACACCCAAAATTTCACCGAGTGTGTTTTAAACAAACCACACTTACTATGTGGCACTCACATGATTTACACACAAAAGAGGCAAGTGAATTCTTTCCCTCTCCTCCACTTTTCCCCAAAAAGTAAAAGATGCACCTTCTTCTACTCCTTTTCACCTCCGGAAGCCATAAACACCTTCTCCCTACCACTTCCCGCTTCCTCCTTTCTCCAACTAGGTCAAAAACTCCCCTCCCCTCCCCTCATCATCTTGGAGCTTGAGCTCTCTTTGCTAGGGAAAGATCAAGAATCTGAAGCTGCCATTGATGGAGTCATGGTGATTGAAATGAAATTTTCACCTGTAATTAATTTTCAATTTTTTCTGCTTATTCCTCCCATTATAACATAGCTATAAACAGTGACTGAAGTGAAAAAAGAGAAGAAAAAAAAAAGCTTTAAAATGAAAGTGGTGTGTATTAAACACATTCGGAGAAACGTTTGGTGAGTAAAAGGTTACTGTAAAACTGGTGTGTGAACGAGATTTGGCTACAAGGTGAGGGGGTGAACTATGTAGTAAGCCTAGTTAGTAACCATACAGTAACATCTTTTCCATACAACCATATAATCTTTCAATTGCACTGGTTCACATTGGTACCAACCTTTGATCCTATCTAGAAATTTTAAAATGAAGCTAAAAGTAGAGACTTTGCAACACAAAGGATGACATACCGACATTCATCCCATGGAATTGTTTCCCTTGAACAGACTGGATCATCCAATGCACTAATGCAGAGGAGGGGAACCCTCACATTTCCTACATAACTGCTACAGCTAACTTTCCTGTAATATGTATCAACAGTCTTGGGGGAGAGGGGACGGAAAAAATGCTGATTATTTAATTAGGCATTGGACAGACGTATTGAAAAAGGAGGTTAAGTTGTGTTACCTCAAAATCATTAAGAACACAAGTGACATGTTGGTCATAATCTCTGATACAACATATCTACACGAGAAACAAAAAAAATAAGTCATCGGAATAAGCAATAAACAAAAGATAGAGCATATATTTATTAGTTGCATAAATTATAAACTAAATTAGTAACTCTTATACATGGAACTTAGAGAAACGTGTTGGTAGTAATATACACATTGAAAAGGAGGACTTTACTGCATCCTTGAAGTTACTTAGGATTAGGATATTATATCTAATTGTTTATAAGAGAGCGCCTGTGTTAAGTTAGCTTCTTGATACTGCAATGGTTCTAAAAGTTCAAAGAGCATCAAAGGTTACTTTTACCCTACTAATATTTTTCTTTCATGTATTCTATGTAATAGGTGTCTCATCTCAAGAGGAACACCCGAAACTAAAATAAAATGGATAGGTGTCCACATACATAAAAGTATGCCCATCGGACTTTATATTTGATCTTTATCATACTTCGTTGGCACTAAATAATCATTTTCTTCACCAGAAGTTAGATTTCATATTTACTTACTTTTGACATTTTCACTTCTATAGCATATTATTCTACGTCTTTCCACTTGTTAGAATTTGCTCAACTGACCAACCGGACACCATTCTATGTTAAGTCAGCAGTATGCTCTTTTATCTCCTAGAGTCTCCATAAGTTGCTTTACAGGGACACCTATAGTTTGGGTGCAAACCTCAAAAATTAGAAGAGCACAATATGTTTTAATTAGGGAACTCCACATATGCGAGTTCTACATAGCTGATCACAGCATATAAATAATCCTAATATCATTTCTCTATATCAGTTAAATAGTCATAATATTATAAATCCTCCTAACATCGGATTTGCTAAGACGTTCTCCCATGAATGGAACCAGCGCAAGTGCCGGATGGATATAGAAGATACATGTACCCAAAACTAGTTTGGGATTGAGTCTTAGTTGGTTGATTGATTTAAGTGATTGACAGAGAAGTTAAAGCATTGAAAAGAGATCGATAAGAAAATGAATGACCTTAGAAATGCTGTCCCAATCTGTCAGACGAGGCAAAATACTCCGATGCCTGCAAAACTCAGATTTCACCATACAAAAGAATTAGGACACCCGAATTAAGGCCAACTCAAATAGAAGTACACTAGTTTTGACATAGAATGAGTTAAGGATTAATGCCATCACAGACAACAACAAAGCCATTACTTACAGCTGGGCATAAACTTTTAATCCAATTCCTAAAGCTTTGTCATAGCATCTCTGTGCAAACCTGCGCTTAATAAACCTGTCACCAATCTGAAAAGAAGAAGAAGCAAAGACAGATAAACCTTGTCATGAAAAATGAGCATAGGTTCTTGTGGTACAGAATCAAAGTAAGAAATGACTACTTTGACTTTAATTAAACTATGTTGTCGCCATCAATATCTTCATCTAGCACCTTCACTGAATTGTTTTAGACTAGACATACTCTTTCTGGATCATGATAATCCAACAGATCATACCATCCAAAACAACCCTTAACCCAAGAAAGAATGCAACTTAGCGGGTAGATACCAGATAAAGAATAAAATGTATGAAACCAAAGAAGTTGACAATGCACCAATACCTCACAAAAAGTCAAAGCATGCATATTAGTTAGTTCAGTTACTAACCAAAAGGTCCCAAGGAGAACAGATTGCAACTGCCCCAACAATCGCAGTATTAACTCCTTCCTCACCAAGATATTTTACCTGGAAATTATTAATAATTGTCAATAATATAGTTCTCGGCCTCATCCTGAACAGTTGCTATATTGCATATACTTGAACTGAATGGATGCTCAAAATTTAGAAGCATTTACTTAAAGCCTTTGAATCTTCAACACATCCATTCACGATTAAGGTTTGTAACATATCAAACTAAAGAAGATGGACCAACCAGTAAACTGAGAATAATCTTGTTTCAATGCAACTTGATACTAAATTAGGAACTTTTTTTTTTGTAACGGTCAAAATGTTGCTCTACACTAGGGAATTACTACATAACTTTGAAGAACTGACAACTAAAGTATTATGATAGCCATATAGACAGTTATCATATGCTTGTGTATATGCACCATCCTGACTACAATAAGATATTTACTGTAAGAACCTATGATAACTCTCTTCCCTTATCTTTTCAAATCTAGTTTCAGTTTTCAGGTAAGCATATCATTTAGCACAATTTTGTGCTCATATTTGGAAAGCTAACAAAATATTCAATAACAAAGTAAGTAATTTTGTACCAGAACATTAGCACCAATGCTAGTGCCGACAGCAAATAAAGGAGCTTGAGGGTATTGGGTGTGGAGATGGCAAATGACTTTGCGGGCGTCCTCTGTCCATCCGGCATTATAGAGGCAATCAGACTGCCATCAAGATATCATGAATCTTTAACTTTCATTGGTCAATAATGTACATACTAAACTGTATATTTTTAACACAATAAACACATTACTAGCAAAGTTATGCACCGTAGACTACTGCATTAAAATCAATACTAAACTTTCACAATTTTTATAAATACTACATTGAGAAAAAATAAAGACAGAGATTTCAAGAGGAGCAATAAGAAACTAAAGAGATGAGAGACACCATATACATCAATGAATTCTCAATTTCTTAAATTTCCTCAGGGACAGCTTCTGCCATGCTGCAAAAAATGCAATTTAGTAACAGAATCATGAAGAATGACCACTCTCCTGGGGCATATAGAGGACTAATAGTATTCCATTAGAGATGGCTCAACTAAAAAGTTAGCATCTTCCTTGAGCAAAGTATAAAATCCACCTACAGGAAACTTCATTCATAAGTGTCACTTAGACCAGGGGCGCAAGTACAATACTTTACTGATGATCCCATCTGAATACAAAATTACTGCTGTGATATTCTATTTAACCCAAGATATGAGATACTAAGCCAAGTATGTATCACTTAATTTATTCCTTATGACCTATTACTTTTGCAGGATTCTGCAAATGTATTTATGCACAGACTATCTGTATCTCTAGGTTACTAACATGAAGTCGAGCACATATAAGATTGAATTGGTGCACGAAGCTGGAAAAATAGTTCTTCAATGCTGTGCAGCTACGCACCTAATAATATGGTTTTGTGCTTGTGAAATAATAATAAGGCAGTTTCAGATAAAAAACAAGCTGAGGCAACAGCAACACAAAATTAGAAAGTTCACAGCATTGCTCCTCTCAAAGGCAGTTCAACTGAAGAAAATGTAGACCATATCTTCTCTTATCAAAAGCAACTAAACTGGAAGAGATTAAATCCTTGCTTAAGGAAGGAGTACTCACAGTGATTGTCACTCCCCCGAGACCCCGATGATTGCTCACAACGACATTCCATCCAGATTTAGCCATTTTGAAAGCAAGATGCTTGATGTACTGTTAAATTAAAGGAGAGTTAAAGCAAAAATTGACACCGAAAGCACGTAGCTCAACTAATACCAGTAATCTAGTATACAGTGGAATGATAAGAGATGAAAAGAGAAGAAACATGCTTACACAAGAGAAGGAAGAGGAATAAATATTCAAGGAAACAAAGAACTATTTAAGAACAAAAAAGAAATTCTCCACGAGAGAAAGAGACAAAAACTAGACGAAAACTCAATATTTTAGAGGAATATAAAAGGAGTGGAAGAAAGCTTACAGCAGAATTAGAGTCGCTTGTTAGGCCAGGAATCACCAGAATGATGGGAGTTTTATCATCACTCTGAACTCCATCAAAACCTTCGACGGATGGTATTTTAACTAACAAATTAAAAAGCAGAAATTAGTGTCAATTTACTCCTGTAGATAGCATATTTAAAACAATAGGGGATAGTCAAGAACCAGAACATTCATCTAGTTGTGCAAAAATACTCACTTGGTCTAGTATAAGCTTGTACCTTAAGATAGGTACTTCTTAAAGCAAATGATTATACAACTAGTAGCTTGCATATTTAGCAGATAAATATCAGAATAACATCAAGTGGTATCAAAAGGCAACCAACAATAAAATAACAAATCCACCCTTAAAGGTAACTACTTCAACGAGCTAACGCCAACAACAAAATAACAAATCCTCCCTTAAACATAACTACTTCAATGAGCTAACACCAACAACAAAATAACAAATCCACCCTTAAACATAACTATTTCAGCAAGCTAACAAGTAGACATTAGTCAATCAAACCATTTATTATATTATTTCATTATATAAGAATTAAATTAATACAATGAAGTCATTTATGATACAGGCTTAATAAAGTGCTTGAATAAGCTACATCAAAGCACAAGGATGTCTGGAGAAAAGAAAACATAGAAAGCCAAGTTACCTAAGCGTGGAAAACCACTTTTTGATAGTATAATGGGATTAGCTCCAATAATGAGGAAAACCGGAGAAATAATTTGAATCTATTTAGAACCACTCTGATTTCTTCAGACACCCTTATATTTCTATCCGTTCAAACACACCAAAATATAGGAATTCAATATTATATGGGCCATTTTAAGAATTCAAAAGGTTCCACATCCTAAAAGATGAAGGTGGAAAAGAGGTTCTTTTTATTTCTACTTTTTTCGAGCATTTTTGGTCTTACTTCTAAAACCTTCTTTCTTCCCCTAAATTTTCTCCTCGAAAAAACAAAATAATTATTGATCTGTCCTAATCTTATACACTGTCAAGTTGGGTAATCTGTTTAACTAATCCTTGATCTTCGAGATGAACTACTAGAAGTGTGTGCCAAGTTCTCTTAAATTTAAACCCTTTAGAACTGGTTAGCCAACATATTTGGGAAGTTCTCCATTGACAAAGCAACACAACTACCATGCGACTCCATAAAGTCCTTCAATCTTGTAAAGAAATTAGCAAAAACTATATTCTGATATATATTCCAGCTCTTTCTTTCTTTTTATTCAGGGGTCTATAAGCTTTAAAATGAAAAATTGTTGTATCATATAAATGTACTTTACCATTCACATTCCGTAGCCAATCAAGAGCTATTGTCCCACCATCAGATGTTTTTAATATCTGTCTGGATGCAAAATATGCACCAGTGACCAAAAGTCAGTTCTTCACTATGTAAAAGGTAACATTTTCAAGTCCTAACTGCAGAGTAAAATTAACACGTGAATCCGTACACAATTATCACCTTTGATAATTGCAAGCAGGTACTCTTTCAAATAACTGCAAAAAAATAGTCTGAAGATGAGGACTGCAAAGCCAGGGAGTAGAAGAAAACCTGCATTACGCAATAGATTACAAATCACCATCACATTTTTTTTCAAGATTTCATTTTTCTTCCATTTTTTACCTTCCATGAAGAATTTTACACTTGGAAACAACTTGTTGATAAAGGTCACAGCAAGAATTAAAGGTCAAAGAGACAGGTTTTCCCCTAAATCCAGTGAATATTTCTTGAATGAAGTACATCTCCATGAAATTATAAAGAAATACAATGAGTAAAAACAGAAATCCCAATAAGTAATGAGAAATGGGTATCAAGAAAGCAGCTTTAAGCATAAGAACATATGGGGATTCTGAGCTTAACGCAATGCAATCCATGGGAATCCCAGAAAGAAGAAAGAAATCAAGAAATCAAGAATCAAGAATGGTTGGGGAAATGGAGAAAATTGGTTAGCAGAGTTAATTTGGGAATCAATTACACGTGACAACCGAAGTTATTACATTGGTGTGCCGAACTGTTTTTATAAAAAAAATTTTGTTCAACGTGTCAAATTTGAAATTTGGAAGTTTTAATTTGCTTTTTGTTGGTAAATAAAATACCCCATCTACCATCGTCGATAATATAGAATGGACCAGGCTTAAGATTTTTTTATTTTTTTTTATCATAATTTTAAAATATGGAAAAAATACTTGGATGAATATTTTTTTAATAAATAATTATTGGTTTTTGCGATATCTTTTTATTTATTGTCATCTATGATAAATTTGATATGTATTAAAATTGAATTATGCATGTAATATAAATAAATTATAGGATAAATTTGAGGAATAATAAACATAAAAATCATATTAGCGCTTTATAACTACAGTTTTGTTATTTGCGCAGCCAAATTATGTTTGTCATAGAGCATTTGATTTGTATAAATCGCAGCGATTTGTATAAAATTTGCAACGATTTGTATGAAAATTGTGCTTGTATATGTATATGTTCTCTATGTTAGGCTAGAGTGGCGAGCAAGATTGGGAGAGAGGCGAGCGAGAGAGGACAGAGAGTGGAGAGAGGTGAATTATATATGTATATCGGTTAGATAATTGTATATATGTAACTACTATGTATATGTATCAATGATTGTGTTTGTATATCTACATAAAATTTGAATCCGTATACAATTGAATCGAGTTAAAACATTTGTATTTGTATATCAAATCTCTTTCTCGCATTATACAAACACAAATTATACAATGTATAATTTGTGTTTGTATGAAGCGAGGGAGAAAGAAAGACAAAAAAGAACTAGGCAGGGAAAATTTTGTATTTGTATAATTATAAGTGTATAGGATGGAGAGATATGTATTGATATTTGTATATACAGTCTCTTTCGCTTTGTACAAACACAAATTATAAACTTATATTTGTATAAAGTGAGAGAGGCGAGCGAGAGAGGGCTGGAAAAGAGAAGAGTGACGAGCGATATTCCATAGAGAGGGGAGAGAGGCGGATGGTAAGAAGTTTGTTGCGAATTGGAATTAAATTAAACTGTAGCTATAACATTTATTTTGAATTAATAGTTTGCTATAATGCACAATTTTGTGTTTTAAAATATAGATATTATGTTTATTTGGTAAGAAATTGACATAATGTATTATAGGTATATTAAAATGTGTGATAAGTGTATTACATCAATAAAACTTATATTATCTGTGTTTTTATAAATTGTGCTCTATAATTTGTGTTAAAATTGAATTATAAGTTAAAATATAGATATTATCCTTATTTGATAAGAAATTGACAATGTATTATAAGTGTGTTGAAGTGTGTGATAAATATATTATCCATGAATAAAACTTGTGTAATATGTGTTTTACAAATTGTTCTCTGTAATATGTATTATAAGTGTCCGGTTGAAAAAAAAAGTTTTATTGTTATAAATGATAAATATTTTTATAATATAACATATTTATGTAAATTTCCTTAATTTAAAAGAAAAATAACGAATATATGTCCTACTTAAATTACTTTTTTTTTAAAAATAAATAATTAGTTAGATCTAAGATTGAGCAGCTCGTTGACAAAATTTAATTTTGGACTATAGCAATCCACGTTCGACCACCTTAATGGGAAGAAAAAAATATAAAAATTAATGTGTATATATAAATCAAATTTTATATTTAAAGGATATGTATTTAAAGTTGGACACCTTGAAAAAAGCTACATCTTTGACGCAGCGATAATGGGTGTCAAACACACTAAAATTTGCTCTGCAACTATAATATATGCTAATACGGTAATACCCATATGGTAAGAAGACTCTAATACAATACATTTAAATAAATATTGAGTTATTTATCTAAAAGACTAAATATTCATTCTCATTTAATATATATATTTTTTATAATAATGTATCAATATTTTTAAAATTCTGGATTCAGTCGATATATAATTACAATAATATGGCATAGTGAAATTGGTAGTATATGAATATGAATATATAATAAACCACGTGCCTGACAGTATCCATGTGAGGAAATGGAGTGATGGTCGGAAAGATCAAAGATGGGTAGAGACAAAAAACAAGTAGTCCTTATGTCTCAGTTTATGTTCCTTATTTTATTTTATTTTAGTCAGTTAAAAAAAAAATGATACATTTCTATATTAAACAATAATATAATTATATAATTTTAATGAAATAATTCACAATCACACAATTTTTTATCATTTATTTTGGACCATAAATTTTAAAAGTCTTCATTTTTTTCTTAAATTTCGCACCGAATCAAACTATCTCACATAAAATATAAAATGAGACGGAGGGAGTACTATATTACTCCTATATAAAACCAATCATGTTTGTTGGGAAACAATAAACTAAACATATACAATAGGTCTTCCCTTAGTGTGCATATAAATAATCTTTAGATTTAAATTAAATTATGCTTAAAGAAACTCAAGCCGAAAATAATTAGCAACAAATTCTCAAAAGGCTAAATAACCTCTTAAACTTGACACAATTTGTAAGTTAGACATAATAGTGACCATATAGATTCTCTATTTGGCAAAATTTTGTCTCTTAAACACCCTGGCATAACAATCTTTTGCACTTCACATGACAAGTTTTGTCTTTTACACTTCTACATTTAGTTTAATCTTTTGCACTTCACATGGCAAAATTTAGCTAAATCTTTTTTATTAAGAATAAAATAAAAGTTTAAACTTGTTGGTTCTTGTTGAGTTTTTAATTTTAATACTGGTCACTATCTAGTTCCATTGCATCTGGTTCTTGTTGCACCTTGCCATTGTCAACACTAATACTATCTCCAGCCTTGTCCTCTTCGACCGGTTGCTCATCTCCTACTTCACCTGATGCCTTGTTGCTAAATGCAGTCACTAAACCGCCTTCTCTTTTGATGAGTTCAGGGGACTCTCCAGAACTGTATTATTTTGTATCTGTATAATACAATGACATAACTTTCAAGGTTCCCAAAATATCATGCTAGACGTATAAGAATTCACCATGGGAAGCGCATTCACGATAAGTTAAGAGCGAGTAGAGCTATCAATCAATATAGCCAATTAACCATAACTAGGTAAGCTTGTCTTTAAAATCATGAGCCAGTTAAAGGTGAGTGAGTGTGCAACACAGCATACCTTTTCTCTATGGTTCAATGAGCTGGAGTTCAAAGCACAAAGGAATTCATCAACGGCCCTAACCCACCTGCACATAAGGAAGACATGATAACTTGTTCTCATCATGGATATCATACTACTAAATTAGTCGCCAGACACTTCAATACAAAACTTGAAGGGGCAAGAGCGATACATCTGAATGCTTATGACACAGAGATTACTCTATTCTGTGGACTCTAATTCAGGTCCCGTACTTTCACAAAGTGTATCTCACAGAGAACTCATTTCTGTTCTGGATCCTTGGTTTTAGAGAATTTTCTCATGCTAAAAGAATTGAGATGACTGAATAATAGAGAGATGCAGTGAATTTAATAAAAAAGTAGAATAAATTAGAATGCCGAAAACCATATCTGTGATGAGGGGAACATATCTTACCAGAGGCTTTTCGCGGTCATCCCTTCAAGGTATCCCAAGTGTCCCCCATGTTGTGTGGTAGCTAGTACGACATTTTTGTTTGCCCTGAAAGAGAATCATGTTGTCATGCTATATATATTTACAGTAGCAGAACACACAGATATGTATTTAAAGCAAAACGGTTATGATTCTCAGGCCTCAGAGCATACAGTGATGATATGAGGATGACTTTGAACTAATAAAAGAGACTTCACAATATAAGCAAGCCTCAACTTCCGTTAGGTGATAATGTGTTTTCATATAATAATTACTTCACTGAACACCCAGCTAGCATTGGAAATAGTTACATTTGGTGTGTAAAAGGTTCCCGGAAAACTGGAGTATGTAAAAGAGATTTGGCTACAAGGTCAGGGGATGAAATATGTAGTAAGCCTAGTTAGTAACCATACAAGTAACATCTTTTTCCATACAACCATATAATCTTTCAATTGTACTGTTTCACATTGGTACCAACCTTTTATTCTATCAAGAAATTTAAAATGAAGCTAAAAGGAGAGACTTTGCAACGCAAGGATGACATACCGACATTCATCCCATGGAATTGTTTCCCTTGTACACACTGGATCATCCAAGGCACTAATGCAGAGGAGGGGAACCCCCACTTTTCCTATATAACTGCTACAGCTAACTGTCCTGTAATAGGTATCAACAGTCTTTGGGGAGAGGGGACGGAAATAAATGCTGATTAATTAATTAGGCATTGGACAGACGTATTGAAAAAGGAGGTTAAGTCGTGTTACCTCAAAATTACCAAGAACACAAACAACATGTTTGTCATAATCTCTGATACAGCTTATCTGCAAGAAAAACAAAAAAAAAAAAGGCATCAGAAAAAGCAATACACGAAAGAACTCCTAGAGTCTCCATAAATTGCCTTAGGGGACACCCTCAAAAATATGAAGAACATGATATGTTTTTATTAGGGAACTCATATGCGAGTTCTACATAGCGGGCCGCAGCATATAAATAGTCCTAATATCATTTTTTTTATCAGTTAAATAGTCAAAATATTATAAATCCTCCTAACATTGGATTTGCTACGATGTGCTCCCCTGGGCTCGTGCTATATCTGCACCAGGGTTTAGATTTAAATGGAAAGGGTTCCATGAATGGAACCAGCGCGAGCGCCAAATGGATATAGAAGATTCATATAACCAAAACTAGTTTGGATTGAGGCTTAGTTGGTTGGTTGAATGATTTGAGTGATTGACAGAAATCAGTAAGAGAAATAGATGACCTTAGCAATGCTGTCCCAATCTGTCAGACTCGGCAAAACACTCCGATGCCTGTAGAACTCAGATTTCACCACACAAAAGAATTAGGACACCTGAATTAAGGCCAACACAAAAAGAAAGAAGTACAGTAGTTTTGACATAGAATTAGTTTAGGATTAATGCCATCAAAGACGACAACAAAGCCATTACTTACAGCTCGGCATAATCTTTTAATCCAATTCCTAAAATTCGGTCATAGGATCTCTGCACAAGCCTGCGCTTAATAAACCTGTCACCAATCTGGAGAAAACAAAGAAGCAAAGACAGATAAACCTTGTCACGAAAAATGAGCTTAGGTCCTTGTGGTACAGAATCAACTTAAGATATGACTAGTTTGACTTTAATAAAATATGTTGCTGCCATCACTATCTTCATCTAGCACTTCCACTGAATTATTTCAGACTAGACAAACTCTTCCCGGATCATGATAATCCAACAGATCATACCATCCAAAGCAACCCTTAACTCAAGAAATAAACAAAATGTATCTGAATCCAACTTAGCGGGAAGATATACCAGATAAAGAATGACATGTATGAAACCAAAGAAGTTGGCAATCCACCAAACCATAAAAGAGTCAAAGAATGCATATTAGTTTCAGTTACTAACCAAAAGGTCCCAAGGAGAACAGATTGAAACCGCCCCAACAAGCGCAGTATTAACTCCTTCCTCACCAAGATATTTTACCTGGAAAATATTAATATTGTCAATAAAATAATTCTTGGCTTCGTCCAGAACAGTTTCCATATTGCATATACAAATACTTAAAGCCTTTAAAATCGAATCATCAGAATATCCATTCACGCTTATGGTTTGTAACATATCAAACTTAAGCAAATGGACCAACTAGTAAGCTGAGAATAATCTTGTTTAGATGTAACTATCCTACTAAATTTTATTATTTTTTGTAATGATCAAATTTTGACAATATACACTAGGGAATTACTATATAACTTTGAAGAACTGACAACTAAAGCATTATCATAGACCTTATAGACAGTTATCACATGCTTGTGTATATGAACCATACTGACAACAATAACTTCTCTGAAAATATTTAAGGTTAGAACCTACTATAATTCTCGTCCCTTATCTTTCAAATTTGGTTTCAGTTTCCAGTTAACCATAAAGAAGACTATTTAGCACAGTAGTGATGCACAATTTTGTGCTCATATTAGGAAAGCCAATAAAATATTTGATAACAAAGTAAGTAATTATGTACCAGAACATTAGAACCAATGCTAGTGCCAACAGCATATAAAGGAGCTTGAGGGTATCGGGTGTGGAGATGGTCAATGACTTTGCGGATGTCCTCCGTGCATCCGGCATTGTAGAGGCGATCAGACTGCCATCAAGATATCATGAATATTTAACTTTTTCATTGGTCAATATTGTACATACTGTATATTGTTAACACAGTAAACACATTACTAGCAAAGTTATGCACCTTAGACTACTGCATAAAAATCAATACTAGACTTTCACAAGTATTATTCATATTACATTGAGAAATAATACAGGCATAGATTTCAAGAGGAACAATAAGAAACTACAGAGATGAGAGGCACCATATACATCAATGAATTCTCAATTTCCTAAGGGGCAGGCTTCTAGGCTAAATTCAAAAAATGCAATCTACTAACAGAATCATGAAGAATGGAAAAACAAAAAGATTGAATCTTTCAAGAATGACGTCTCTCCTAGGGACTATAGAGGACCATTGTATTTCCTAAGAGATGACTCAACTAAAAATTAAGCATCTTCCTCGAGCAAAGTATAAAATCCACCTACAGGAAACTTCATTCATAAGTGTCACTTTGACCAAGGGAGCAAGTACAATACTTATTACTGATGATCCCATCTGAATACACAATTACTGTTGTGATATTCTATTTAACCCAAGATATGAGATACTAAGTATGTATCGCTTATTTTATTCCTTATGACCAATTACTTCAGCAGGATTCTGCAAATGTATTAATGCACAGAATATCTGTATCTCTAGGTTGCTAACATGAAGTTGAGCACATATAAGATTTACTTGGTGCACGAAGCTGGAAAAATAATTCTTAAATGCTGTGCAGCTATGCGCCTAATCTTATGGTTTTGTGTTTGTGAAATAGTAATAAGGCAGTTTCAGATCAAAAACAAGCTGACGCAGCAGCAGCACAAAATTAGAAAGTTCACAGCATTGCTCCTCTCAAAGGCAGTTCAACTGAAGAAAATATAGATCTTATCTTCTCTTATCAAAAGCAACAAAACTGGAAGAGATTAAATCCTTGCTTAAGGAAGGAGTACTCACAGTTATTGCCACTCCCCCGAGACCCCGATGATTGCTCACAACAACATTCCATCCAGATTTAACCATCTTGAAAGCAAGATGCTTGACGTACTGTTAAATTAAAGCATAGTTAAAGCAAATATTTGACACCGAAAGCACATATTATCAAGTAATCATATAATACAGCTCAACCAATGCCAGTATACAGTGAAAATTATAAGAGACGACAAGAGAAGAAAAATGCTTACACTAGAGAAGGAAGAGGAATAATAACTCAAGGAAACAAAGAACTATTTTAGCACAAAAAAAAAAATCTCCACAGGAAAAAGAGAAAAGCTAGCAGAAAACTCAATATTCAGAGGAATACAAAAAGAGTGAAAGAAAGCTTACAGCAGAATCAGAATCGCTTGTTAAACCAGGAATCACCACAACAATGGGAGTTTTATCATCACTCTGAACTCCATCAAAACCTTTGATGGATGGTTTTTTATCTATCAAATTAAAAAGCAGAAGTTGGCATCAATTTACTCCTCTAAATAGCATATATAAAGCAACAGAGGATAGTCAAGAACCACAACATTCGTCTTGTTGTGCAAACATACTGACTTGATCTGTTAAAAGCTTGTAACTTAAGATAGGTACTTGTTGAAGTAAATGATTTTACAACTAGTGGCTTGCATAATCAGCAGATATATATCATAATAACATCAAGTGCTATCAAAAGGCAACCAACAAAAAAATAACAAATCCACCCTTAAACATAACTTTCAGCAAGCTAACAAGTAGACAGTAGTCAATCAAATCAGTTATTATATTATTTCATTTTATCAGAATTTAATTACTCGCTTTGTTTCAATTTGTTTGTGTTACTTTCCTGTTTTGTCCATTTCAAAAAGAATGCCTCTTTCCTTTTCTGGAAACTCCTTAATTTCAACTTTCCCGTGACATGTTTAAGATTTCAAGATTAAAGGACATATTGGTACATTCTACATATCTTTAATTTAAGACCACAAGATTCAAAAGTCTTTTTTACTTGCTAAACTTCTCTTCAAGTCAACCATACAAAACAAATTGAAACGGAGGGAGTAAATACATGAATTCATTTATGATATAGGCTTAATAAAGTGCTTGAACAAGTTACCTCAAAGCACAAGGATGTCTGGGGAAAAAAAGAGCATAGAAAGCTAAGTTACCTACGCCTGGAAAACCACTTTTTGATAGAATGATGGGATAAGCTCCAATAATGAGGGAAAACATAGAAATAATCTGAATCTATTTAGAATCACTCTGATTACTTCCGACACCCTTATATTTCTTTCTGTCCAAATGCACCAAATAAAATGGGAATTCAATCTTATATGGCTCATTCTAGTAATTGAAAAGGTTTAACATCCAAAAAGATGGAGGTGGAACAGAGGTTCTTTGATTACTTTTTTGTTTCTACTTTTTCGAGCATTTTTTATCTGACTTCTAAAACCTTTTCGAGGACTGCTTGTTTTTAAAAAAACTAATGGACATAGTAGAATACAATACTACCTTCTTTCTTTCCCTAAATTTTCTCCTTGAAAAATAAAAAATTATTAACCTATCCTCCTTAAATCAATCTTATACACTGTCAAGTTGAGTAATCTGTATAACTAAATCCTTCATCACTGTGATGAACTACTAGAACTAAGTGCCAAGTTTTTTAAAATTTAAACCCTTTATAACTGGTTAGCTAACATAGTTGGGAAGTTCTCCATGACGGAACAACACATCAACCATGCAACTCCATAAAGTCCTTCAATCTTGCAAAGAAATTAACAAAAACTATATTATGATATATATTCCACTTCTTTATTTGTTTATTTAGAGGTTTATAAGCTTTAAATGAAAGGTTGATCTGTCAAATTATAAATGTACTTTACCATCCACATTCCGTAGCCAATCCAGAGCTATTATCCCACCATCAGATGTTTTAAATATCTGTCTGGAGGCAAAGAATGCATCAGTGCACCAAAATTCAATTCTTCACTATGTAAAAGATATATAAGTATGAGAATATGCTCTCTTTTCACAATTTCAAGTGAGTAACATATTCATGTCCTAACTGAAGAGTAAAATTAACATGTGAATCCGTACACAATTGTCACCTTTGATAATTGCAAGCCGGTACTCTTTCAAAGAACTGCAAAAAGATAGTTTGAAGATGAGGACTGCAAAGCCATGGAGTAGAAGAAAACCTGCATTAAGCAATAGTTTACAAATCACCATCACATTTTCCCAAACTAATTAGAAGTATATGAAGATTTCATTTTTACTTCATCCCCTTATTCAGTTTTTACCTGCCATGAAGAGTTTTACACTTGGAAACAACTTCTTGATACAGGTTAGAACAAGAATTAAAGCTCAAAGAGACAGGTTGTCCCCTAAATCCAGTGATTAATTCTTTTATGAAATACATTTCCACAAAATTATAGAGAAATACAATGAGTAGAAACAGAAATCCGAATAAATAATGAGAAATGGGTATCAAGAAAGCAGCTTTAAGCATAATAACATATGGAGATTCAGAGGTTAACCCAATGCAATCCATGGGGAAGAAATCAAGAAAGAGTGATGGAGAAGAAAATTGTTGGTACTAAATTTGATACAAAGGACAGTTGTTGAGCTATATGAAATTTATAAAAAAGCCGTCAGTCTTGACTCAACACTCTTGAGCCAATGTTTTCTTCTCCAGTAATAATTGATAAATTTGTATGTCACTATCACCATATATTAACAAATAATACTAGTGGTTATAGTATTGCTAATATTGAAATTGGTATAATAATAAGACAGGGTAAATGCCTGACAATATAGCTATTAATTATTTGCTGATCAGAAAGATGGCTAGAGACTGAAATAAATATATACTCCTATATAAAAGCAAAACATGTATTGGAAACAACAAATTAAACAGACAAATAATAGTATGTGTACCCTTGTTATGTTGGTAAAATATTTTTAATTAATATCTCAAAAAAATAAAAATTATATTTTTGAATTTCTCTAATTAATTTTGGTTGAAATAAATAATTACAAATTTATTAGCCATAAATAAGGCAGCATTCATGTGCTATCTTTTTTGGTCAAAAATGGCTGTTGAACGTTCAGAATTTTTTTTGTGATAGATAATTCATTGCCTTCATGGCTTTGATTAGTTTTCATTTCTTGCTTTTGAACTTTGGCATATTACCTAATTCACTTTTTAATATCTTCTTTTTTCTCCTTTTTTTTCTTTGCTGGATTTTCTATCAGATATGTGTTAGATTTTGGCTGAAAATATTTATATCGAGTGAAATATCCTTAAAAATAATATCACGGGCATAGCTCAAACTATGATTTTTTTTGTAATTTTCAATAATTCCAACATAGTGTAAATATATAATTTGTAGATTCAAACTAAATTATGCCAAAACAAATACAATCCGGAAATTATTAGTCAATGTGCACGTGCATGACTTTTCTGTATGAACATGGAATTGCATGACAGAAGTATTCCCTCTCACCCTGTTTCATTTTACTCACCTTCATATATTAAATTATTATTTTTACTTGTATATTTTTAGCAAAACTAAAAAGAGTTTTTTTCCCCTTCATATTATCATAAAATATCAAATAATTATACAAAACAATAATAAGCAAATCTAGAGTAGAGTCACACAACATTATTAATAAAATTAGTTATATTCCTAATATTTTTTTCTTAAAAGTACTCCGTCTTCTTTTTTCTGAGTGACTAAAAGGAAAAAAGTTCATATATTTTTTTAATTTCAAATTTAATTATGGTCAAATAGTGGTCAACCGAATTGACCACCATGGTTCGCTTCACCGCCACTATAACCACCACCATCCACCATCGTCTCCGGCGACAAATTCGAACTTTTGTGAACGCAAGGGTAAAATGGGTACGAGATCCATACCTGGATACAGCAGTAGAGAAGGAGAAAAACCTCAAGTCATTACTTTCTCTCAAGAACTTAATCATCTCTCACCCATCAAAAGCTCCTCCTCTTCGCACCATTTCCCCTCTAAAACCCCAACTGAATCTTCCCACAACCGCCCTCAAATTCATTCAGAATTACCCTTTTGTTTTCAAAACTTTCAGACCTCCAATACCCTTATCGACATTACACGTAAAGCTCACTCCAAATGCAGAATCATTACACAATGATGAGACCCTTTTTCTTAATCTTTCACATTATCGAAAAGATTTAGCGCAAAGATTAGCGAAGTTATTGATGCTCACAAGAGCTAATAGACTTCCTTTCTATGTTATCAACAAGTTTAAATTTGATTTGGGTTTGCCTCATGATTATTTGTTGAGTTTTTTACCTGAATTTCCTGAGTATTTTCAGATTTGTCAAATGGGTTTTAAGGGTGCTGATGGTCGTGAGGTTTTCGGGTTGGAGTTGGTTAAATGGAGGAAGGATTTAGCTGTTTCTGTAGTGGAGAAAAGGGAGGATTTTGGGGGTGGGAAAAGAGTGCACATTAGGTATTCGATGAATTTACCAAGAGGGTTTGATTTGCAGAAGAAGGTGAAAATTTGGGCTGAGGAGTGGCAGAATTTGCCTTACATTTCACCTTATGAGGATGCATTTCATTTGGCTCCTAATAGTGATCAAGCAGAGAAATGGACAGTAGGGGTTATTCATGAACTGTTAAGCTTTCTTATATCGAAGAAGACGGAGAGGGAGAATATTTATTGCTTGGGAGATCATCTGGGATTTGGAATAAGGTTTAGAAAAGCTTTAGTGCATCATCCTGGTATATTTTACTTGTCGAATAAAATCAGGACGCATACTATAGTTTTGAGGGAGGCGTTTAACAAGAACATATTAGTTGAAAAACATCCATTGATGAGAATGAGGTATGAGTACATCAGTCTCATGAACAAAGTGTTGAGAAGGGGAATTCCAATCAATGCTGGAGCTCTTAGGCACAGGAGGCGGCTGGCTTCTGTAAAAGCAGCCAACAGCAAGAGGATGAAACAAGTTAAAAGTATAGAGCCTAAAGAAGATTGATAATGTGAATGATAACTTGATGATCATGCATTATGTTATAAAGGCTTGTGTATTGATGGATTTGTCTATCGGTGATTCACTAAATGTTGGTCGAAACTTGCAGGGATATACAGGGGAAAGCAAGGGAAGGAAACCTGTATTCATAAGAAGCTGGCAACTGCTGCTGAAGCTGTCTTTACATTTGATGATTTGGCCTTATGTCGGGTACTATTTTCAAAATTGCCTTCTCTTTGTGCCCCTTCTGATGTTAAGGGGGACTCGCGCCCTTCAAAAATGTCCATGTTCTTATGGTGGTGGCGATCTTCCTAGCCAAAAGGATGCGCGTTGGGAGGTCTATATCGAGCAAGGTCTAACCATGCCAAGTGAACATCCATCATTTTACACACCTTTGTGCTACTTGCACCACCTATCCGATCACTTCTAATCTTGTTTAATTTTGTATGGCGACACTTCCATTGTAACATTTGGTACAGAACATTCAACCTGGAATTTCGTTCCAACTAACAAGAATATGAAAATATTGTGTTCTAGTGAGAAGAGGAAAAGTTGCAACAGTTTGAAATTATGAAATATGAAACGAGGGGATTGCAACACTTTCCTGAGAGAAAAACTATTCTAACTCTTTTTTAGAATGCAAAACCAAAAACTGAGAAAGAGGTTGGAATATTTTAAACTATTTCTCTATTTGAATTAATTCTTAAATAAACTTTGATATTTTTGTTTATAATGTGATACTAAATATTACTTTTTGTAAATATTCTTGCAAAAGTATAATCAAACACAATTCTATTTTTAAACTCTATAAATTCTAAATAAAATGAAAAATCTAAGTCAAACGCCTACTAAATGGCTAAATTTATACTCCTTTGTCCGGAATTACTTGTCCAATTTTTCTTTTTTACTTGTCCATATTGACAAAAGAACAAATTTTTTTACCTATTATACACTCAATTAATTATTTTAAAAAATGTAGGACCTCTTGAAAATTTTAAATTTTTAAATTTTAATGAAGGACACAAAGTAAATTTTACCTTAAACAAGAATCCCAAATTCCAAGGGATCTGTGGAATTGGACTCCTTCTTTGGCTATTCTTGTTGGTACTTATTTGCGTCGATTTTGTATTCCTAAATATTTTTATTTATATTAAATTTAGGGTTCCTTTTCTAGTGACTCTTTAAACTTTTATTTTTAATGCCCCAGTCTTCTCAGGTTGAACAAGGCTAAAAGTTTGAGGTATGTCTTTTTTCTGATCTTAATCGTTAGAGTGAAGAATAATTGGTATATGGTTGATATATTGACTTGTTATTCTCTCATTATTATTTTTCTATGTATATGATCTTTGGTTTGTTCTAATTTTCATTATATAATTAAGGTATGATAAACTGGAATACCTTGTTTCTAGTTTGAAATTAGTATATATATAACATGAAATTTTTGTTTTGTTTTAGGGGATCAAGAGAGGAAGGGAATAAGAATATATATAATGAACATATTAAGTAGCAACACTACTCCTTTATTCCTTCCGAAGGACATCATATTTGACATGTTAAGCTATTTGCCAGTCAAGTCGGTGCAAAGATTTAAATGTGTATCCCTGCTTTGGAATATCATAACTCAAGATTTTCGCTTTATATGTCTTCATTTTAAACATGTCCGTCCTCTTATTAACTATAATAAGAAAGTTAATAAGAAGTCGGAGGAGAATATAACAACAACAGATGAATATAAGCTCATATTTTCAAGAGGTTTAATATTGGAGTATGCTACTAGGCCTAGCCATTTCCCCTCTTCTCCTAATTTGAGATATCGCGTAAGGAATCCTGAACTGCATGATCAAATTGTTGAAATTCCGGATTCAGAAAAGCCTATCTTGAACATGCAAATGGTGGTTGATCCAAATAACAAAGTATTGAAATTACTCTCCCTTGTTTATGATGAATTACTTGAAGAGCAAGTGCTCAGTTATGAGGTTCTTGATCTTCAGAGTGAAGGAAGTAACTATTCTTGGCGACCCATTAACTTGCCTCAACACAGCCGAGGAAAAACTAGAATGTGCAAACTAGTTAAAAAGCATACCGGACAAATTAAAGTTGTCTTCACTAACCTTGGAATTGTTTACAGCATATGGGACACGGAAAAATGTTCTCATATAGGAATTGATATTCTGGATATGGTGAATGAGAGCTACATTGGCCATACTACATTACCTACGTGTTTCTACACGAAGGATGATTGCAAACTTTGGAATGGAAACCTGTCATTCGCTAAAATAGTAAAAGATGAGGTTCATGTGTTGATATTAGAGTGTTACAACAAGAAACATATGAAATGGGCTGATGGAAAACTAATCATTAAGCTACCATTCTTGAAAGGTGTCTCAGTTGAGCCAGTGATAAAGCTATTGTATCTTTCTAACACTAACAAGTTGTTCTTTGTGTGGCGGGACAAGGAATCAATCCACAGTTTTGACATAAAGACAGGGAAGTTAACAATTATATTGTCCAACTACAAGCTATCTCAAGGTCTATATCTCACTTGGCCTAGCCTCTTCACTTTCAAAGGATTGCAATCTTCCTCTGGTCAATAATGATTCATTGTCGCCCTGTTTGATGTATTTCATTGCATTCAGCTTATTTATTTCTTACTTGTGCTAAACTATTCAAAATGAGGTTGATTTTCGATTGGTAACAAGATATGTCATAAAGATTCAAGAAATTAAGCTCACTGCAACTTTACTTTATTCTTCTATATCCATATATAAACAATATTGTATCTCTATTTTCTTCACCAATTAAGGGATGGGGAAGTTAACAAACAAGTGATCATCTATCACTACAAGTATAAGCAGGCAGTGGTATTCCTTCATTCTGGTTGTGATGGAGTGGTAAGTATTTCTTCATTCTGGTTTTTGGTTGGGTACGGAGTTGCCTTTGTGTGGTGGAGTGGTAAGTACTCCTTCATTATTTGCCTTTGTTAGTAGAGTTTTATCCAATGTGGACATCCCGGCATGAGTAACCCTGCAATGAAACATAGGTTCAAAAAGCATTATCGTGAATTGATCCAAATTACAAAATTTTATTTGTGGTTGTAATTTAGGAGACCGAGCCATTATTGCTTGGTTTTGAAGTACTTAACTTGCCTCAGCAGCAGAGGCGCAGATCAATTATTCTTGCTTTAATTTGAGCTTACAATTGATTATAGAGATTGTCGAGATATGAGTTTGCACGTCAAAAATACCTATTCATTATTCTTTGCTATCTTTTACTGATTTCTTATAAGTCACTGAACTATCAAATTTTGTTTCAGAAAGTTGGTCAACTTTTAATAATTCTTTCCTAATTAAAAGCTCATGCAACTCAATGCCTTTAAAAATGAGGCATTTGTTTTAGGCCCCATTTTTTTTTTTAGTAGTAGTAGAATTATTATAAGTATCTTTTAACAAAAAATAAATTATATTGCGTCTTTCTTTTAGTTCATTTCGAATCATTAAAGAATGTTTCTTTCTTTTTGTCAATTTTTCCATTTAACTTTCACATGACATGTTTAAGATCACAAGCTTAAAAAATATTTTGATATATTATTTATATATATCTTTAATTTAAGATCATAGAAAAAATAAAATAAAAATTATTAAAAAAGAAAAAGAATTTTTGGTATATTAATTATTAGTAATATGTTTTATAAACAATTTGTAGTTGCTTAAACAAATAACTATTGTATATGACTTGAGACTAACTTTCTGGTATGTCAATTTCATTTGACATACACCAGAGTCAAGTCACGCACACCCATGTCCCATTCAGTGACACATTTTCCTTTTTGTGTGTCAACAGTCAGGTAAGAATCTTGTTATCTCTTCATGAAAATTGTTCATTCCCATGTCTATAATAGAAATGAAGCTATTGGAGTTACCCAAACAGTCTGGTATTGAGCAGTTGAAATATGTTTTGTGCCTAATGAGAACTTTTATGTAAATCAAGTCACAAATGGTAGAGTGTAATATTGATATGTATTGGTAGCCAAGGTTCTGTCACTCACTTCCAAAGATTAAGGTAAAACCTCCATGTAATAGGCTCATGTTCTGTTCCCCATCTATGTGCACTCAACTTCTAATATGTACACACCCATGGGCACATCCAATGTCACACGCCAACATCCAATCCTAGCAGCTCTTTTCTATAGAGCCAACAAATAACTCCTTATAGGCATACCCTCATCCATGCATGTTCATTGCCACATAATTCAATAGCCAACCACTAACTGTGAACACCCCTTGGCGTAGCCAAATTGCAGTTTAAGAAATTCGCAAGTAAGGAAAGGTAAACATGTAGCTAAGATTTAGTGCAAAACATTTAATTTATAGTATGTCTGGAAAATCTTCATGCTAGGAACCTTATTGTTTCAGTGCTTTTTGCTTAAGTCATAACTTTTCTCCCATGCCTTTTCTTGATCGTTTCTCACTTCTTAGATGATCTTTTATTCTTCTTTGCGTGGGAAGCAGCCTCATCTACCTTTGCTTTGTTATTTTGTCAAATAAAATAAAATATTTAGCTAGAGTTTAGGGTTTAAATGTAACTTGTACTGCTTAATTTTATCAAATAACGACTTGTATTGTTTACCTTTTTCTTCTCACATGTGTCGCGATGCTATGGGACATCTCCCATTTTTTTCACTATCTCCTGGCATTTGGGGCATTCCCAATCTGAATTTCTTTTCTCCAAAAAAAAAAGAAAGATATGCTTTAAGCAATCATAATTGTTTACCTATTTTATACAAGATATGAAGTTATCGTATAGGCAATGAGAAATTATTCATAAAATTTCTTGTTATTTATCATCAATAATAAGTGTCAACTTAAAGAATAATTTATTTATTTATGTATGTATATCAACTAAGAATCAAAACTATAAACTGCTAAAAAGTGCTTACACAACTTTCTATTGTTTATTCTAAGCAGATAGTATTTGTTTAAATAATCACGCGTTGTTTATAATGTACATGTTGTCAGAAAAATGTGCTCTACTCTATCTGTGAAAACCAACCTCCTCAAGATATTCAGTAACTTCCATATTTAAATCATTGATTTGTTGAAAATGATCATTAAACTCTTCTCTTTGATATACTTTTGC